ACGACGACCACCAGACAATTTCGAGGAATAGCGCATATAAAGCATATTATATATATTTTCCGTTCATTTTGAAGCTGGACCGTAGTTGCCTGAGGGGGGTATTTCTCAATGTCTTTGATGAAAGACGGCGAGTAAGGGAGAGATTGAAAGAGAGAGTGTAGCATCTTCTTCTTATTTTTCTTCCTCAATAGCATTCATCATTCGTTATGTGTGGCCTTATCAAGTGGCGTTGAGATTCTTAGAGCGTAGGCGTGGATCTACTCATTTCCTCTTTAACCATATCATATAGTTAAGCATCCAATATAATATATTTAATGACCATGTCCATACGACCTTTGAAAGCAGAGCCAACTCACATATTTTCCATAACAATGCATTTGAAGAAATGTAGAAGCTTGTCAACTTCCTTATTTCATTCATTCAACTTGGAAGGTTAAAAGTCATTTGTCCCAAATTGGCTATTGTTCCCTTTTTTTTCTTATAAAGTTATTTTTACAAAAGGAAAGATATTTAATCTATAAATTATTCTAGTAATACCTTCACTTCATGTATCCTTGACCACTCTTCTCTCTCTCTATCTCTAACTCTCTCTCAATTTCCCTCTTTGTCCTCTTTCACACTCTCTCTCTAAGTCTTTGTTGCTCTTGCTCTTGTTAGCTGGTCAGTCGCTACGAAAGACATTGTTGGCAGAGGAAGAACACAAGAGCTTATCGTTCAACACTCTCTATCTTACCCCCTCTCTCTCTCTTTCCCTCTCAACTGTCCCATCATTGTTGTGTTCGTTCTTCGTCCGCTTCTAAACTAATTAACCATTAATTCTAATCTTTCGAATCATCAAAATAAAGAGATCAGATCAACTTAATTGACTTTCCATTGCAATTTTTCCTTTTTTGGCTTTCTCTTCATCCCCCCCCCTTCCTCATCTCCATTGACGTCGTCGTCGTCGTCGTCGTCGTCTTCATCGTATTCCAATCTGAGTGTACAATGTGTACACGTCACAGTCACGTCAAAAACGTGCAAACTTTTTCATTATTTTTGTCGTCGTCTTGTCTTTGGATGGCTCGTCATGACGCACCCAATGTCCCACTTGCACTTCTTCCTTCAAATTTTTTTTTATTCGCTCTCTCACAAATCATCCAAACATTCTCCCAAAACTCATTTTGTTATTAAAAAATATAATATTCTCTTACCATTTGTCATTTAGTTAATTTACCTTTTTGTTCATAACAATCGCATGAAGCACATTAACCTCCTCCTCCTCCTCCTCCTACTCCTCTTTCTCTCTTTTCCCTCCTTTACCCCTATACCTCCTCCTCCTCTTCTCTCCTCAATCATCTACCCCCCCCCCGCTCCCTCCTCACCCTTACCCAACAGCTTTCTGTTATTTCCACATCTCAAAGCTTCAAAATACGAAAATTTTCATTTTTCCTGTTATAGTAAAACCAACTTAAGAAGTTCAAAGATGTTGAACACCACTTACTTATATGGCTCTGTTCTCCATATATATCGTAAGAAGTTTCAAAGAACTTTCACAAATCATCCGAGCTAACCGCCTACTCTCTTCGATTCGTCTTGATGAATTGTTCCAGCACCAACTATGGAGCTCTGCTTATCCAATTGATATGCTTGACACATAAATCTTCATCACATGCTTTACCTTACCTCCCACTCGCTCCCCTCTCTATTGCTCTCAAAAACCATTCCGAATAGAAAAACGTTTCTCGAGGGAATTTGTTGTGAGCTTACAACTTTCCGATTTCGTTCTTTTTTCCTGATGGTTTCTTGTCCGCAATCTTCGAGCTTGTGTTTCAAACACACTCTCATACCTCACGTTGTGCATTTAACATATGCGTTTGAGAGACCGGAATCTAAGTTCTTCTCCTCTCCATTCTCATTGCTTTCTCAGAAAAAACACTCTGAAATGTGCGAAGAGAACAAATGGTTGCCAAGAATGTTCATCAAACTTTCCGGAATCCACATGTCACCCACCCTTTCAAGCTACAGCATTCCTCACTTCTAACTCAGCCGATAACCGATCTCCCACAGCTTATTCTCCTTCTCTCTTTTTTGCTTTCACTCCTTAATTCCTGCTCTACATAACCTTTTACTATATGTTCATCATTTCCTTGTCGCTAATACAAATTCATCAAAAATTAGATGACGTCATTCTAATAGCCACAAGCAACGCGAGTTAAGTGAGAGTTTTGTGTTTTTTGAGAGAAATGACGAGTTGCAATGATGTTGAAGCTGAAAATGACATCTGAAGACGTCGCTCGGAGGTATCAAAACTGACAACCTTATTTGCATAATCACCAAAACAGCATAAAAACATAAAACTCTGTCAAACGTGACTTCTCAAATGATTTTGAACACCTAACTTCTCTCGTTTCACTCCGATTTCTTATACTTCTCATTACTGCCCTAATAAGGACGTGCATCTCCAGATTTTCATTTTGTCTCGAACAAAACAAGAAAAACCATCGCTTGTATCCTGTTTCGCATCAGGCTGCGGAAGTTCAATTGCTGCCATGACTTCTCTCTCTCTATCAAACAAGAACAGAAGTATCTTGTTGATTCTCAATTTCTGAGACGTCATCAAAAAAAAATATTTGATGCAACTTCAGATTATACTGAGAGACTCAAATCTATTTAATGAGAGTGAGACAAATTACTGCTCTCATGCTTATTGCTGTTTCGTATGTCATTCATGAAGCTTCCTTCTAGGTTGAACAAAAACATTTAATTCTATAGTTCATCATGCAGTTAAGACTATTCTGCTAGAGCAGCAGTTCTTAAGACGTGCTAGCAATCTTGCTGATCTAACACTAGCGTTTTGCTTCTCAATCTCTTCCTCCCCCCCCCCCCCCCCCTCTCTACACCAACGAATCGCTTTCCAATTCAGGTAACGGACAATTAGTAGCTAAGCTATTTTGTAACCGAAGAAATATGAATATAATTACACAAAAATATTTTTTAAACATCCGGATGAGCGAATCAATAGGAAAGCTGAGTAAAACAGTTAGAGCGAAAACAATTTTTTCTATAATAATGAACGAACCTTCAAGATCGTTTACTCAGCTTCATCCTTATAACTGCCTCGTGCTCATAGATGTATCTAGACAGATAAGGTGCTAGATCTTCGGTGGTAACATGGAAGATCAGAAGCGCCTTACGATGGCTATGACATCATATGTATGGAGGATTCCGATAATTCGAAGAATTCACATGCTTCATTTGTCTTTCGTACAGCAAATCTCTTCTTCTATCTATTCGTAATCGGCAGTCAACCAGACAGAATTATGCCGTCAACGTTTGTGTGGTGTAGGAACATCTGCCCCACTGAGAAAGTTTTTCAGGAAAAAAAACGGGGAAAAGCTTCGTTTGCAGATATGTCCTCATCAATCCGAACCATCTTTGTTTCACTTCTTCGTCTTCTCCTTATTCCATTACTACTCAGCTCTATTTTTTCAATAAGATTAACGGAATAATATTAATAGATGTTTAATTGCTAGTGCCATCTTAAGCAATTTGATCGTCTTCTCTCTTTTCATCTCTCGCCCCCCTCTTCTTCAAAGATTAAAGAATCTTCCCATTATATTGAAACCTCACAAACTTAGATCGGTTGCACGATAGCATTCGAACAGGAACGAAAAAAAAACAAAAAAAACTATCCCACCTGGCAACCGATTCCAATCTCATCAACTTGAAATAAGCTATTCGTTGTCTCCACGTTTATCTGCACTCATGTCATTTCCATTCCACGTCATCTTCACGTGAATTTACGTGACTGGCCCAGTAGCACAACGTTCATTCTATCTGAAACAATCCGAGTTAGCGGTTGTTGTTACTTGGTCATCAATACTTAATGTTCAACAAATAATTATATTTTCATTTATTCGGCATTCGAAAAATTCTTCCGATGACACGATTCATAGTACTCTCTTCCACCTTTCACGAGGCAACACGTCAAAAGCATTAAAAAGCAGATCGTGCATGCCTTTTCAACAGATTTGTAAAGCCTAGGTAAGTCTAATCTCTTGATCAATCCGACGTTGGACGATTGTTTTGGAGAGTGAGGGAAAACCGAAAAAAAACGCTTTTATTCATCAAAGATTATCATTTTTAATCTGCTTTTCGTTTTCTAATCAAATTCTTTTCTTCTTTCAACAGCTTCACAGCTTCTTTAAGATTGTTAGTATGGAATGAAAGCATGCAGCTTCATGCCCAAGACTGTTGCTTTCCAGATACATCAACAATACTTTCTATCTATCCCTCTCTCTCTTCCTTTCTCTTACTTCCATTCTTTCTTCCTTTCTCTCTCTCTCTCTCTCTTTAACTCTATCTCACTCTCTTTCTCTTTCTCTCTCAAGCTTTGTTCTTCTTTCATACCTCTAGTCATTATCGTCTATACATAATTCTACTTCACACGAATATGAATACAACATTTCATTTATCTCTACAATTATACTGCTTATATAGATGCTGCCAATCTTAATTTCTCTCAACAGAACTATTCTGAATCCTTTCTATCTGTCGTCGTCGTTGTCGTCGTCGTCCTCCAGATGAAGTTGACGAGAAACATTGAACTTTCCAGATTATTTTTATAAATTCAAAGAAACCGCTTCTATTCTCATACAATGATGACATTCAAATATAAACTTTAAGTTTTCTGCACTTCTCGTCTCAAAACCATTTGCAAGCATCTTTAGCCATCTGTTATTTGGTACTAAAGCTTCTTTCAAAATCACGTCAATGCTGATGGAAGGTACGAGGGGGACTTCAACAGTCTGCCATCACCACATCACTCTATCTAACGCTATATATACGTCGAAAGATATTAGCTATCCAGACTGTTCTTTCGTCAACTCTTAAACTCAAAGATCTTTTATCTCTGTTCAATAGTCATTTACTAACGTGCTTCAAATTATCTCCTAAATGCCATGCTTCCCTCTATAGCGTCTAATCTACTAATGCAATCTCATCTCATTGCAGGTATAACTATGCAGACGATCAAATATTGGCAATTCCTCTTACTAGGTTCGTACATTGTACAATACAAAGTTTATATAAAAATCTTTAAATATTAAGTTGTTTTCTTCGTTCTGCTGGGAAATGTGTTTTCTATGGAAGACGATGATCAACTAATGGGATGGAACAAGGCGCATGGCTTATGGGGGAAGCGTTCTATTCCCACGGTTAGCTCTATCTCTGTTAAAATTAGGAAGTCTTAACTAAATTCCATTTAAGGATATATTTAATAAACAAGAAAAGCGCCCAGAGAATTGGTCAAAGCTTAACACGTTGTGGGGGAAGCGGTAAGTGTACAATCGGTCTGCCATCTGTAATCATGAATATTCAGATCCTCAATACCCTACCACAAATCTTATTCAGACAACAACTTGAAGAGGTACCCTCCCGGTGAATCATGAATGTTCTAATAACAGATTGTTTTTGCAGGCCAGAGATGTGGCAAATGAACAGCTTGTTCGGACGATAGCTTTCTTATGAGCAACAAAGAAAAAGAATATAAACTATGACTGTTCAGGGGAAAAACCAAAACAACAATCAGTTTGGATCTGCCACCTCATCCAACTTTTCTTATCTTCGCTCTCTTTATCTCTCTCTCACCCTCTAATTCTCTCTCTCTATCTCTCTCTCTCCCTCTTATTCTAAATGCCCGTTTCATCTTGCATTGCTAAAGTGAATTACATGTTGAGCTACGACACCAAGGTGGATTGTGCTTCAAACAGTCATTCTCCCTCCTCCCCAACACAACCACCCATGATCTCGCACCTTCGCTTTCTTCTAAGAAGATTTAAAATATCAAATGATAATGGCTAATTAGTTCTTGAAAGTTCGCGCATAATTATCATTGAACGTTCAGAATAAGTTAAGAATTGACCAAGCTAATATACCTGAGACCTCAGTACTGTTGTTTTTGACTTCTTGTCCAATAAATCATTAACGTTATGTCCTTTGGTTATTCTTCTTCCACCACCGCCACCACCACCATCATCATCACCATTACCACCACCAAAGTCAACAACACCAAAAAATAGGATTTGTTTCTGCAGTTAGATGTTTCAGTTTCACTAATTGAGTAGAAAGCCCCTTTACATTGCATTGCTCGCCCAACTTGTTTATCCTAGTACGGATTTTCTTTTCATTGACCTCTCCTCCACTACCATCAACTTCATCTCTGAAAACAATCCATTTCTCATAAAACTTCAATTATTATTACTATTATTTTTGTTCTTTTCGAGACAACAAACACAAAGCTATGACAAAATAAACAAAAAACAATAAGAAAACAATCAATACAATAGCTGATTACTCCCTACGTCCACCCACTTGACGCTTAAACACAATACATACAACAAGCATCCAAACTTCAAAATATACACTGTTGCTACTTCCTTCACAACCTTCAAATATACCATACTCTTTCAAACTACATGAGAAAGTTTTGGACATAAATAGATGGCTCAAAACGGAAAACCTTTCATACCATAGGATTTTAAAGGATTCAAAAGCACTCACAATCATGAGACCATAAACCTTGAAGACAGTACACCAGCTAGCTAGATGAACTTAAGCATGACGTCAACTAGGGCTATGAGCTTTCTGCTAGCAGAACTAATAAAAATTGGAATAGAAAGCTGAAAATGACTTTCCTTGTTTGCTTCTATTTTTGTTCCAATTTCAAAAAATATTACGACCACGGCAGGATTCGAACCTACAATCTTCTGCTCCGTAGGCAGACGCGTTATCCATTGCGCCACGCGGCCAACGATGTTGCATTGGCAAAAGTCATTTATTTATTCTGTCTTGCATCACTAACAAGATTTGTTTATAAACATTTTAAGAAAGAAAAATAAAACAAAAATGAAGGTTGGTCTGCTCTTCTGACGAAGGAGAATATTCCAACTAAACGTTTACGTGCTGTGCTCACTCACGTGAATTTACTTTTTTACGCATTGAATGAGTTAACTGGTCGTTCATGATGATCACTCGGGTTAGTGAATCGAGAAATGCTGGAAATCTAACTGACGCATTTACAGGTTTTGACAATAGTGTTTGCTATCCATTTCATCATATTCTCTCTGATTATTTGTGTAAAGAAAAAGACGAAAAGTAGAAGTTCGTCTCCTGAAATGAGCGTTCGCCTCTTAACGGATCATTTCCAGAACATAGCAAGAAAGCGGACAAGCGTCATGCAAGAGAAACAAATAACATGAATTCATATTCAACTAATGTCTCATGTGAACCTGAGCCCGTTATACCAGTAATAGCTCCACCACCGTCAGGAGCGGTTAGTTCAGCTCTCTTTCTTATTTAAATAAGCCTTCCCCTCATTTTTTCAATCCTTCTTTAGGAGCATGTGTACGAAGACATAATGGTTTTGGATATGTTGTCGCCTCCTCAAAACGGTTCCGTCTATTAGATTGGACACTTTGAAACTTCTTTTTCTATAATTCTACTCGAATACATGCGTTTTCATGATATCTTGTAGTTTTGATGGGGAAAAGTCGCATTGATTGGAAAGGTTTATTGATTGGCATGTACTGATCAAGACATGACCGCTTAAGCACGTGGTGGGCATGGACAGTATTCGGCATCGGAACCTGGTTGACCGTCTTCTCCGCGCTGAAATTAGCGTAAGTATATATCATATTCGAATTTGAGAAAGAAAAAAGAAGTAAGAGAAATAAACTCACTGGTCCACATTCTCCGTTCTTTCCTGGGTGTCCTGGAGTTCCTGGACGTCCAGAGGTTCCCTTTTGTCCTGGTTGACCGTCGCTTCCTGGAGCTCCTGGCTTTCCGTCTTGTCCTGGAGGTCCACGTGGTCCTGGTGGTCCTGGGCGTCCTGGTTGTCCTGGTCTGTAGTCGGTTCCTGGTTCTCCGCGTGGTCCTGGTCTTCCTGGTTGTCCGCAGATTCCGGAGCGTCCTTCGTCTCCTTGTGGTCCAGCTGGTCCAGCTGGTCCTGGGTTTCCGAGTGGTCCTGCTGGTCCTGGTCTTCCGGCTGGTCCAGCTGGTCCAACAGATCCTGGTAATCCACGTGGTCCTGGACGTCCGGCTGGGCACTTGATGCAACCGCCTGGGATATCGTGTGTAACGGCAACAACAACTCCTGGAGCTCCTGGATGTCCGTCAACTCCGTCAGGTCCTGGCTCTCCTGGTTCTCCACGAGCTCCTGGAGGTCCTGGTGGTCCAGCTGGGCAACCCTCAGAGCGAGGTCCGCAGTTGCATTGGTCGAAAGCACCTCCAGAGCTACGTTTCTTGCGGCCGAACAAAGTACGGAAATCTGGAGCAGTCTCAGAAGTTCCAGATGGATTAAGGTGCTTAGTCATGATAAGGCTCCAGGTCTCGGTGGAAATATCCTATCAAAACAAGTATAAAATTGAAATTGTGAACATGACTTACTCTGAAATCAGAGATACGCTTCTCTACGTTTTGTTCGAGTCCATTGAGACGGCTCAAGAGTCCTCCGAGCACGAAAACGGTACCGGCAACAAAGACTAAAGTAGCGGCAGAAGCCACAAGAACGAGCTTGGTCATGCTTAGTGGCAGTTGAAACCCTAAACTGATGAATTCTCCAGAATATTTGACCATATATAGTTACGACCCCTCGACGGAACTGTTATAAAAACTTTGGTTCCACTTCGGTATGGTTACAGCCTCCACCATAGTACCTTTACTTCATAAAAATTTTTCTTTTTTAATTTCAGTTAAGAAAAACGTCAACCGGTTTGAAATGTCCCCTTCAGTGAAGAATATGAAACAACTGAAATGATGGTCGAACGATTAAATTCTTTTCTCGAGTGTAACACCATCTCTCGCTGATTTTGCAAAAATACGGAACGACACCTCCCTGTTCGGTATTACTGAATGACAACTGCGAGCGGTGGTCATTGCATACTTCCTGTGTCTACAAACGATTCTTCATATAGGTCTCTAATGTATTCACTTCAATATAAATAGTTTATTTTTGAAATTGAATAAATTAGTGCTTCTTCTGCTTTGGAGGGCATGGACAATATCCAGCATCAGCTCCTTGTCTTCCGTCACGTCCTGGTTCTCCAGGAATACCGTCTTTGCCGCACTTTCCTGGAGTTCCTGGCTTTCCATGAGAACCTGGTTGTCCGGCTCCACCATCTGAAGCTGGACGACCATCATTTCCAGGCTCTCCAACAGGTCCTCTTGGTCCAAGTTCACCTTGACGTCCATTGTGTCCCTGGAAAACAAAAATATAAAATCGACTTTCTCAAAATAAGATTACAGGGAGATATTTAGTTCCTGGCTCTCCTGCATCTCCTCTAGCTCCTTGCTTTCCGAGGGCTCCGATAGGTCCCAAGTCTCCAGCTTGCCCAGTTGGTCCAACGACTCCTGGAGATCCTGGGGCACCACGGCTTCCTGGGTTTCCATCACGACCTGGTGGTCCTGGTGGTCCTTGTTGTCCGGGGAATCCTTCTGGTCCTCTAGGACACTGGATGCAACCTCCCTTTAATTCTTCAATACTGAAAGAGAGACCGATTTGATATTAAAAGAGAACTACGAAAAATTACTCGGCTAACACTCCTGGAGCACCGTTATCACCATCTTTTCCGTTTTCACCATCATGGCCAGGAACTCCAGATGGACCTGGTGGTCCTGGTGGTCCTGCTGGACAACGGGTAGCTTGAGGAGCACAGTCTTTAAAACAGGCAATTAGCAGGAACTGATGCATAACAGAACTTACGACATTTACTGGAAGAACGCTTCTGACGGATTCCGAACAAAGTAGTTACGGAAGGTTGCTTCAGTGAAGTCATTGACAGAGGGTCTTTGTGCAAATGAACAATGCTGCTCCAGGTGTCATCAGTAATAACCTTAACGAATACATGCTTCATACGAAATAGATAAGCTCATTACTCTGAATTGAAGCATCTGTTCAACAATATCATCATTCAGACGATCAATATCTTTCATGAGTCCTCCAACAAAAACCAACGCTGTCAGTATACCAACTGAAGCTACTACAGAGCCGGCGCCAACGAACAAATTCGACATCTTCTGGCTAGCTTATCCTATGATAAGATATTGCTAACTAGCTGTAAAAGTGAGAGTAAAGAGCGCTTCAGTACGGAGAGAATTCAAATTGAAAAACGGCAATTCATTTTCCAACTTCTGCTTGCCTTATATATCCGATCACCCATCCGGATCTGGTGGTTTTTTGAACATTCAGTTGGCCACTCAAATCGCTCCAGTCTTCTTGTTTTCCGATCAGAAAAAAACCGACTGCATTAAAGATAAACGTGAAGCAATCGAGATTCTGATGAGCTTCCTGTGAACCTTCCGAATCAAAAACTTAAGAAAAAGTGTCCGCATCTCGAAGCAGTTTTAACCTAACTGATCAAGTCTGCTTCGACTCGTTTAGTAGAGTCTGAAGTATCTCTCATTTGACTGATATCCACAGAAAGTAACACATTCAAATTAACAGGTTAAATGACACGACAGCAAGTGACACTTATATTCAAAAAAACATTCAATCACAGCTTCGCTGAGTTAGGCGACCGCATCATAATTGAATATTCCTACACCATTATTGATGTTCGAAGAAAATGGCGAATATCCGCTTTACTTGAATTTGAATTGAAGTGAAACAAAAGACCATTGACGTTGGATTCAATTTCATTTCACACCCTTCCGTTCATTTCGAAATAAACGCGTGAAATTGACATATCCTCTCAACAGTTCCTTGTTTTGCATTCCAAATTCAAATACTTAAATATAAATGTTCATAACTCATAATGATGGCTTCCAATTATGCGTGACTTGTAACACGAATAAAAAGCTACTTTTATTGCGTACCGAGCGTCTTCCAAATTGCGTACAACACGCCGACATCGGCATGGTCCAGCTTTATCCCATATTAATTTGAGATAATTACTTTCATTAATTGATCTTTTCGAAATAGATACTTTTGGGTTTTCAGGATGTCTCTGCTTGTAAAGAAATGCTGCCATTGTCGTTCTGATCTAGAAGAAGACAATAAAGGTTCTGTAAAATGCGATAAATGTGTGGAAAATGAGAAAAAGTATGGACAGGTATGGAGATTTGTATATTACAAGGTGTAATTGGTTTTTTCAGCCCACAACTTGTGTTTATTGTCAATTACCAGCAGCTTTCTTAGGGGGGAAGTGTGTATATTGTTCGGCTAGTGAAAGAAAGCTTGGTACTCCGGTTCCTTGTGCCAATTGTAGGTTACGAGCTGCGTTCACGAAACCGAATCACAAAGTAGGATTTGCTTTGCTTTTGTTCAGCAATCAGAATTTTTTAGGACCGTCCAAAGTTATGTAGGATGTGTGTCCTTCAAGCACGGGCTAATAAACTAACAATGCTTGCTGGAGTAGCAGTATCATCAAGCTCACATGAACATCATCACCGTCATCATAAGGATAAGGATAAAGATCGTGAAAAAGAGAAAGAAAAAGAGAAAGATCGTCATAAGCGAAGACACAGCGATCACAAAGACAGACATGTCAGTTATTACGTTCTTATCCTCATGAAATATACATATAGAGAGAAGAACCATCATCCTCGAAATCACGCCGAGATCCACTAATGGATAGTGGTGAGAATGTTCTGTTGGTTCAACAACTCCGCGATCAAATCGGAAAGCTAAACAGCGTCATTCAAGATAAAGATATTGTTATTCTGGAGAAAGATAAGAAGGTTCTTATTGCTTTGAAATTCTTTTTCTTATTCTCTGGGTTCAGATCGCTGCTCTCCAAGCAGACATGAGGACGGCTGAAAAACGTAACCGGGAAAAATTCGATCAGTTCATGAAGGAGAAAGAAGAAACCATTCATTCGATACACGAGAAGTATCGATCGGCCATAAAGTAATTGAGAGCAGAAAGAATTCTGTTAACTCTTTTGTTTCACAGGAAAGGAGGGAAGAAGGCCAATAATGGAGCAGAGACGGTGTTACCATTCCAGTAGGAATCGATTGGAGCAGGATCATCAGCATCGTTTGCGATATCTAAATCATCAAACCCAAAGCAATCGTTATTCTCTTGCTCAAAGGCATGTAATGAACCCATGCTTTTAGCCATATATAGTTCATTTACTAATGAGTAGGTAGATTAACTCTCTTAACTGTCCCGTGTGTCTGAGGTGATGGAACATTTGATAGCTCGCAATGAAAGTTCATGTGCAGACTAGGTGGTGACACAACCGAATGAGCATGTTCCATACTATTCAGTCTTGTATAAATCATTAACTCGTTTACTACTTACCTTTCATATTGTAACAAGTTCGAACTGACGTAAGGGGAAGAGAAGGTCTTTCCTTATGTGCTAATTCCCTGATTGGAGAACCGTTTGAGATGTTGTAAAGTGTTGTTTTATACCCTACTGGTCTGTTCTACAAGCACAAGTAGTCAGACCTTTGTACGATTCCTTATAAATATATTTCTTTATCTGTTGACTGAATAACCGTATGCAGCAATTGAACTTGAGATTCGAACAAAAAACACTTTGAAAATTTAAAAATTTAATATAAACCATCAAAGTCTATAATGTGTCTATGACAGTGTACAGAAAAAAACAATGCTAGGCTGAATAAAGGAAAGGCTTGTAGTGCAAGTGCTGAGAAGTATTTCACAAGAAAACCGGATAAGAGGCAAACAAGTAAAGCAGATCGTTCAGGAGCTCTCGAAGAACGGCTAATGAGAGAAGAACTGAATTCTCAAAAAACTTAGAGTGAACACAAAAGGTTTAACCACATGTGGTCAAATAAGTGAGATTCTCTATTCACAGATAAAGTTGGTTGACAATTAGGTAACCTAAACAAAGAAAGATGTCCATAGAACAAATCAAATCACCAGGATCTTGAGAGAATGTTATATAAGTGAATAAAACTTCACATTATCCCATTGGGACTAGAGGCTTAGGCCTTATTATTCAAGACTTTGTCTAACACTTTGTTGGGAACATCCATAGTAGGATCGAGAACAAGAACGATATCATAGATTTCCATGTAATGATCAAGTAGCTTCTCTACCTATAATCACATTTTTTTAATTATTATTGTCGCATGACCAACAAACCTTATCGTTCAAATATCCGATTTTTAAAGTTGGGCCGCGCTTATCGGCACCAATGGCCATGTGAACATCGCCTTGACTATCACCCAACAACACTACGTTGAATCTATAATTGAAAACGTCAAGTAAACACAATGACGAAAGACTCATACCTATTGTCTAAATCATGATAAAATTGGGCATCCTTACGGATGACAGTCGAGTTCTTACAGAACGTATGGATGAGAGGTTCAGAAAAATCTGAGGCTATTCCCTAAAAAGTTCAGATGATGAGTGTTCAGACATATGAGGAAACTACCTCATCGTTGAATAGCATCATGTTTGAGATGAGGTGAGTGTTGGCGGGAATGCATCCTAGTTTGTGCTTGAAGTACATCTCAATGATATTTCCAATACCAGCAGAAAATACAATGAAGGGTACATCGGCTTTATCAAGATTATCGATAAGCTCTTCAGCTCCATTCCTGGAAAACCCCACTGTTAGATGCTGTAGTACTTTATATTCTTACTTCAAAACAATGTTAGCTTGTTTGACAAACTCTTCGATCATTTCTTTGTGGAATCCAGCTTTGATAATATGGTTATGAGATGTTCCCCACCAAGCTTCCATATGTGGAGTCTTCTCTTCAGGGGTGAGCTTGTCGCAGAACTCAATTGGGAAATACTTATCACGAAGATCGTGGAACTGAAACAACGGGTTCGAATAACGATTTTGGTTATAGAACTAACGATTTGGCTGAGCTTAGGATCTACACGGTTGGCTAGATTGTCGAAAACGCCATGAGTAGTCCAGCACATCTTTCCTTCTTCATCTTTGTAACGAGACAAGGTGAAATCGAAATCCGAAATAACCTTCAAAAGTTCATCATTGTAACGATAGGGAAAGAACAAGAACGAACCAATAATTTCTCACGTCCACCGCTTACAATCGTTCTCAGCTTCTCTTCAACTTCTTGACGGTTTCTTATATGCACCTGAGGATTCTCGAAAATATCAGAGAAGTCGAACTGGCTGGGACTAATAGAAGTAGCTGTTTTCTCAATATCATTGATGCCGTTGACAATATTGAAAGCTGGCATGATCACCGACTGAACTTCGTCCGATGTAATAACAGATGGATCTGAATATAGTATGTTAAGTATTGGCACATAACAAATCAATATAAAGATATGAGTTGTGTAATGGAGACGCCACCAGGTGTCTCTTATTACATTTAAAAAATCAGAAGTTAATGGCTGAACTGCTACTATAGATTTATGATGCTCGAGTTATGACTACCCTCAATGACACCCACATACACAATAAAGATGGTGGCTTTCAGAGAAGACCGTGAGCCAGAAGAACGACGGAAACAGGATCGATTCTGACAAGGATCAATAAACGGAGAAATGCTAGACAAGAGCTCAGGTGCTAGATGGAATAAAAGGTTAAAAAGAAATAATAATGAATAGAAAGAAAGAAGGACGGCAGCTGATAACACGGTTGATATGTCCTCAGTTGAAGACACTAGAAGTGAAAGGATTAAATCACTTCAGCAATCATTGAGAACAACAGCTGCTTAACAATGGGTAGAAAAAAGACGTCTCCAGCATGGAAGAAATATTGGAAACCTTACGCGTATATCATTTGTCATTACAATTGATGTCGTTCGAAAATAGAACTCACGTGATGCAAATGATCATCGAGAGAACTCAAATATTCGGAACATTTATCCACGTAGAATATTTTAATGTTTACGTGGAGGCATGCGTCACGTGAAACCGGACGGATCCAGTCATTCTTTCCATCATATAGGCATGAACGGTTGAGTTAACGGTATGGTCTTATAGCAACAAGAAATACAATGCCGCGTATTGGAATGCGGCACTTTCGCTATTTCAACTACATGATGTAATTTCGTAACTCGCCTTTTCGCATATCGTACCATATATTGTGAAACTCGTGAGTTGCAGGAAAATCAGCCCTTCGGCTAAACAACTCGGGTGTGTGGATACAAACAGGATTTGCCAGGACTCCATATAAGCAAGGGAGAATGCCAGAGATTTATGATAACAAGAAATGGAAAATACATGGCAGATAGCAGTGGACACACGAGCAAATAGATGCTGGTCTTTCGGAACAGAGAAACTGTCTAAAACGCAAAAACAGAGAGTTAGAGAGAGGAAAAGAATGAAGAGGGATGAAGAAAAAATCGCCATCAAGCATCTTCCACCTCATGCAGACGAGTTCGCAAAGACAGAAAACAAACAAAAAAACATTTCAGAATTACTGTCTGTCGGAGATGAAAGAACAATGGACAAGATCCAGATGCATAAGCTACGAACCATGACCAGTTGGTTTTATAGATAAACCCAGAAATAGGTCCAAATAAGAGCATTCGTACTATATTTGAATCTTGAAGGAGCGCCACTATACATGCCGTTAGATTAGAAGTACAAAACTTGGAGAGGCATTCTTTGATATTTTTGTTATCTGATAAAAACTAATTAGCTACTGTAAAATATGATTAGGCATAGTGAAAACACTCTCAACAGGTATTTTTCAGATGGGAACTCTAAAAAGTGTAATGGACTTATGGCATTGAACGACTTCATGAAGAGTAATTGTCAGGAGCAATCATGAGTTAGTAATCTAACTTGAGATTGAGGACCTGTTTTTTAATGATTGAGGGAGGTCAGCAAGGTTAACATGGATCAGAAAGTTCGAAATAAGAACCAACTGAAGCGCAACTAATTCGAATTAAATTCACGTAGATCGTCCCTTTAACCTTCAGTTGTTAGCCCCAGACATCAAGGAACTTTGAAGTGAAAAACGTGCCAGCACTTTGGCAACTTACATTCGTCCTTTGCAAATGGCAAAATATGCAGTGGATGAACAGTCTCGAACTTGGTTGCCAAACTCATTCTCTAGAACGACGGTGTTAGAAGGTTAATTAAGCTTGTACGAAGATACGTCAAGAAATTCAAAACATTCAAATGAACAGAAACATTTTCGTACAGCAACAGCTGATTAGAACCTCGAAATCTGTGAAGATAATAGCGGGGGTTCACCGTTCTGATACCCTTCCTTATAAAGGGGCTAAGTGCAGTAGTTGGCATGATAAGAAGAGATTGATAAACCCTGAAATTCGATCTGGCGGTCGTAAAACGTGAAGGATTCGCCTGGATAACAGCATTACCCTTACGTTTTAGGTTGTAAATATACACTAGCTTATGACAACCAAAAACCGGTAGCTGTTCTTATCAAGTCTATACAATTTCAATGAAACAGCGAAAATTAGTTCTCGTAGATAAATAAATGAAGTTCGTTTGTATAGTAGAAAGATACAGAGTGTTCTTTGTCATATTTCAGACAACCCCGACATCCAGGAGACACGAAAGTGCCAAAAAAGTGAAAAGGGAGAAATGAAAAGAAGGGATGAAGCATAACGTTCGTAAGGCTTGAAGGATAACCTTGGAATATGTACAGAAAAAACTCACGATGCCGTTTGTAGGAAGAGGAGGATGAAAGCGATAGTTGTCGGAAGCGTCTCCCGTTCTCTTTACCAATTTGAGAAATCAGAGTCCTCAGAGTTGATCTGCAAACATGTGGTTAGAAGGTTCAGTGGTGGAGACATGAGACAAAACATAAGCAAATGAGAATCTATATGACCGATTACTAAATCAAAAATCAGATTAAGGAGAAGAGACAAAACCGAGGGTAAGCCTGTGTGAATCGACCAGAGAGAAATCTAACATGCATTAGTGACACAGAGAAAGCACAACCGACTCCCAACAAAATTTGGAAACAAATGAAAAGTCTTCATTCACATACCCTGAAGGCGACATGTCCGTCAAAAAGAGACTTCCTAATCATAAAACTTTTTTCAATACTCAGAAAATAATAAACAAGTATACGAAATGGCATTTGACCATACGTTAATGAACGATAACCCAGAAACAAATGTTTATTAAGGTAATTAAAGTTTATCAGTACGAAGTTGTTGCAGCCACAACGTCAGCCCAGTGAAGGATTTTTCTTCTAAGAAAGCATCAAAAAACTCTTTTCCCTGAAAAATACATGAATGGTGATGACAGGTAACAGTAATAATAAACCTCATAAATTCCAATCTTCAGGACTGGTCGATGGAAACCCTTCATCATGTCGGCGTCACTGCGACTATCTCCAATCACCAAACATAGTGATGGCGTTCCAATACGAACATCTAGTTCAGGTGCAAAATATTCGTAACTTTTGTTCAAGGAGTGTATAGTTGGAGAAAATGAATCAACCGATCCGTCCTGAAATCAATAGTAACAAACGGAGGAGGAACTGCCTGCAAACAAACCAACTGAAAATTCATTTCATTGGCAATCACAAAAACATTCTGCGGATTGTTGCATCCAAGTATCAAGGTGAGGCTTTCTCGAATGATGTTTGCTATCCCCGCGGAGAAAATAATCAAAGTGAGATTGTTAACCTCGCAGAACTTAATGAATTCTATCGCTCCATCTCTGCAGGAAATCGTTGAGGGCTGCAGAAGCCGGTGTTCTCACCTGAACGTAATCCGTTCGGCACAACGTTTCAGTTGAGTTTCGTGGAAGTCGGAAGCTTTGATTAGCTCATGAGACTCACTCCACCTGGAATGATCATTTCTAATTTTCAACATTCGTATTCAAAACGAACCATTCCTCATAAAGCTCATTCATCTTTTCCGGAGGTGTCGTATTATGAATGACTGCAAATCTGTTGTTCATCTCATTTTGCTGGAATGTGAGGAATAAGGAGAGTGAGACATTGGAACATACCTTAGTGGAAAGAAGTTCTCCAGTCAGTCTAATTTTAGTTGTTTCAGGAAACGATTGGTGAGTAATCAACGAAGAGTCGGAAGAGAGAGTTTGATCGAAATCACAAACTATCTAAACATTCTTATTCTATTTCTTTGTATCTATCATCACAAACCCCTAGTACTTCAGTTCCTTTGTTCTTCAGAGTTTCATAGAAGTCTGAGAACTTCTTCTCTAACTCTGGTTTATTGAAGGCAAGAAATGATTTAGACGTCATCTGTTGAGCAGTTATTTCACGGCTTAATACAAACGAAGTTACAACTCAATGACTGTTTATCAACACTTCAGAGCAAATTTTATAACATTAGCAAATCCAAGTTTATAGATAATGCATAGTATGCTCCATCAATTGATTGCATGTTAACCATATCATGAACGAAGCCACACTTGACATAAACATCACAACTTGGCCATCCGTGAAACTGAACAATCGTTCTCGCAATCGTCTCAGCTTCCCTGGACTGCAAAACAAGTAAACATAACTTTGTGGCAAAAAATAAGAAGCAAACCTAGCATATCAGTGGTCCAACAAACATCATGAACACATTCTACCTCACGCTATCGACATTTAACGATTTGCATGATGATGTATTCAAGCCTCAATCTGAAATGTAGCATATTCAAAGAAGCCGAATGAATAGAATTGAAAGTGAAGTTGCAGCGATAAACATGAAACAACTTTAAAATATCCACATTTTATATGAAACTGCGAAAATAATATACAAATATATGAAACGGCCTTACATCAATAAAAACATTTTAAGCTGCTCGCAGAAGTCGCAAGCGATACATAGGAAGTTGTAAACGGAGTGTATGAAATAGAAAGGATATAACCAGTTTTGGTTTAGGAAGGGTTTAAATGCGGGTTATTCCCATTATCATGAAGGTAGTGGTCTTCTAATATATCCATTGCACTTGGTATATAATGCTGTAGGATTGCTGAATCGTGAATGTGGTTGAGTGTTTTTCTGCAACGGATGACTTATGCCCCTTATAAGGCTAAGCATACCTACCTTAACATCTCTTTCACATGTGGAATATCTCTAACCGTTCTTCCTGGATTATGCTCATCGATAGGATCCTCTATTAAAACTGAATTCTTTGCACGAGAAGAACCTCTGAATTTTGATTGATGGATATGAAAGGAAAACCCTTCCCTTAAGCGCACCTCCTCTTCACAGTCGACTCGTTCAGTGTTATATAAAAGTTTTTGAAATCAAAATCTAGAAAATACTGCAAAAATCGTACGAATAGCTCTCCTAGTCCCATCTGGTTCCTCATTTCTACTGAAACACAAGGATTGCGATACTCTAATCTAAGCCTTACATGGTGTAAAATCCGGTGGCAAGGGATTGCTATAATCTATTTTGTCAGGAAAAACTATTTCGCTTTGAGCGTAAAAATCTGAACGGAAAATAAATCTGTGAATGTGAGTTATGTCAAACTTGGATAAAGCTGCTTCAGGTTGGGTAGGATTGGTGGATAAACTCCACATTGCAAGAAATGAATTACAAGACATATCACAGCATAGCTAGAAATATTGATGAAGATTCAGTCTACCACTTGGTGAACCTGTTGAAACAAGCATTCGGACCTCTGGGATTCTTGATTTTCGCTATAGTAGCCCATTTTTTCACAAAGTGACAGAAAGGTACGAATCGTTCATCAATACTAAAGAACGATTTATATAAAAACTGATAAGGTTTCAGTACTTTCCAAACGCTCCGATCAGAAGTGAATTATGAGCGCCCGAGAGGAATCTAGAAGTACAAACACTCAAGTCCACTTCCAAACCATCGCATGTTGTGATTTTTAGTACAGGAACCTTAACCAAATACAACTATCAATGATAAAGGCAGAAAGAATTTCTCACAGAAGCAAATACAAGATCCATACTTCTGATGTTCATGTTGGTTCCTTCTTGTTCGGCATAAACAATCGCATGCCTAACTATCTGGAGGATATTCCTAGCAGCGCTATAGAAGACGATGAAGAAGTCTAGCTAACTAGAACCAAACTCTGATTCACTTTCGAAATAACTTGAGAACTCGGGTATGAATAAGCACAAATCCAAATCACTTCTACGTGATGCCAGTCCAGACACACTTGACCCAGTCGGCACTAGCATGAAATGCCAATTGAAACTTTCCTATCATAAGCTTAATTAGATTAACACAGTTTTTTAATCACCTCTTTGAAGCTGTTAAGCAAACTCTCCAAGTTGTTCTTGAAAACCATCTTCCGATGAAACTCATAAGGAGTCTGAACGGGGGTGTGAACACCAATTCATGCAAGATATTGAAAAACCTCTCTAGTGTTTTCGTAAAACTTTTGTATATCAGCATCCCATTGCTGAAAATCGTCTTTCGATCGTATATCTTCAATCCATCTGAGATGAGAAACCAGTTAATACAGGGGATCATCAATCAAACGAAACCCCAAGTTCTCGAAGTTGAGTTTGATCAGATGCACATTGATGGTAACTTTCAAGCTGAGTTGAAACTGTTCCTTTACATTTGGAATAGCTTTCTAAAAACTACTGAATTCATGAGTTGATAAAATGAAAACCTACAGCTTCGTAGAAACTTAAAAATTCTTCTCTATAATTCAACATCAAGCTCTTATCCCCCCCACCAAAAGCAGCAGCTTAAGAAAATTTATTTTGAATTAGCCCCGCCCATTTAACCTTGAACCCGTTGCATGAAAAGTATGCCGCAAACGAACGACTGTCCGAGTCCGTTCCAGAGGATAACAGTCAACATATTCATATGTTTGCAATCATTTTTCAATTCATTGATTTGTTCATTGATTTTAGTAAACTTTATTAATTGCTTTGTAGAAATCTATCATTAGGGAGTGTTTCATTAGTCTAGTTGAGGTACTAATCATTAATTATTCAAAGAATCTAGCACGAGTTTTGAACGTTTGATTGAGTATATGATTGGTCAGAGAGATGTTCAATTGAAATGCGGATGATTTGTGTTAATGGCGGTAGATATGTTTCCGAAATCTATATAACGTTCGTCGCTTGTCATCCCATTTGGTTAGCCATTTCTTTAAAGCTTCTTCATTCAAAGCTCGCCACTGGATGTTCAGATCAATCTGTTCGTACACTTGGTTGATTTTTGCAGGCGAAGTGTGAAGCTAAATTCCAATTCCTTGACTTGTTTCCATTTTCTTACTCACTTTCTTATCTTTCAAAAAGGTTCTAAGCTCTTCGAGATCATGTTCAGTACTCAGACGTTCAACGATTGATCGCAGCGCCATAGTCATTAGAGATGAGCCTTCTCCAAACCTGCAAGCATGATTTATATGTAACACAAGAGCATCGATTGCAACATTGTGGCGCTCTCAAAACTATGATACAAATGTACTTACACTCTGCTGAAGTCGTCAAAATGCATTCTGAAAAACCGCCAAGTAGCTGAGCGCGCCACATCATTTTGAGAGAGAGCAGCGAGTATTCTCGGAATCATGTTAGATCGGAAAGGTCCTTTCCTTTCTATGCATAACCGAAGCAATCTATGAATTGAGATTACTATCACTATTCAGTTCTCACCCATACCTATTAATTAATGCAGTGTCTTGAGAAGAAGCCAAGGCTGATATCAAAGCTTGGCGTTCCATTGGAGTGTTGGCTTCTTTGAATGCTGCTAAGGTTCGTTCCCATGCTGCAACTCCTCCTTGTCTAATTCCTTCTTCCAAAATCACTTCTTGTAGTTCAACGCGTGGTCTTAAATTTATTTTTCATTGTTCTGAATGCTTGCTCATGACATACTCGACGTCGTTTACTATCCAGTTTTTATACTGATTGTGAGCTCGTTTGATGCAGTCTCTGTTTCTTAACCGACAGGCTAATTGAATAAGTTCCAGCTCAAATCGAACCGTATAAGCATGTAACAAGTTAAGAACTTACCTCAAGACCTGGATTTGTTTTATGATCCCAGGCGTACTTTTCATACGATTTGAGAACAAGAGTTCGTTCGAAGTCCTTAAATCGGAGAATTAGTCTTATCTTGATGATTTACTTACCTGGAAGATGTTCTTAAAGTCAGTTTCATCTATCAAAGTTTCGATATTCTTGAGTTGTTTTCCAATTAATGTCCAAGACATACGGTCATCTTCATCTGCAACGGGAAAGATGACACCTCGTTCATCATAGAAACTTGCCTTCAGCATATTCCAAAAGGTTTAAATAAACATCAATAGCTACATCTGATGTTTTTGAGAAGTCGAATGCATCCACTAGAAGCATCACACGATCAACGGCTGATATTGCCTGTAATCGATTGTTTTCCGTTTTATTCTTGATCCTACCGTGTAGTTGTCTTTCAACATCTTTGTCAATTCACCGTAGGTTTCAGTATCATATTGAACTTTCAAGTATGCTACACCTCCCGAGTTGGCAATCACCCATTTGGTGTTTGAAGGTTGGGCCCAACTCACTAAAGGTCTGCGGTTAACAACTATTGGTACAAAGCTTTTCACCTCGTTCTTGCTCTGGCTTCAGCCATTGAAGTTTAACCTCTTCCTTGCTATCAGTTCGGTAATAAATAGGTATCGGCCACTGAGTTACTGAGTCCGTTTGGTTCTCTTTGAACAAAAATCTGGTCTGTAACGCTTTGCTTTAATTCTCCTCATTCACTGTGGCTTACTTGATTGGAGATTGTAATCTCATCTTTCTCCATTTTCACGTGCACTACTGGATATCCGACCTGAGTGGTGTACGCCGTTGCTAATGACTGCATTGAAATTCCATCTGGTAAATGAGCGTGCTGTGAAGAGATAATTATTATGCACATAAGAGATAGATAATGAACCTTCTCCATGATTGCCCAGAGCTGAGATCCTTTGGCATTCTCATACGCGTACTTATTGAGGTATTCTACTAAAGCCCTCTGGAAATTAACTTCACCAGCTAATGATTGTATCATATGAATTATAGCTGCTGGCTGTAATTACTTGTTTGACTTTTCTTCATATTTTCTTCATCCAAACCTTATGGTAACTGATGGCGTCGAAGAGTGACATGATATTCTTGCTGTTCTTACCTAATGGTGCAGCAATGGCGCGAGAAGATGTTAAGCCGTCAGGTTCATGTGAGAAGGCTACATTATCCACATAAAATCTAGTCATCTGAAATATTTATGTTCAACTGTCCCAGCCTAAACCCTATTGACCTAGAATTTCATTCTTCTATTTTCATTTTCATTCTGCGAAAGGAGTATGAACTTGGCGGTTGTGCTCCTGCCTACTTTCATGTTTTTTTTTGAACAGCGCGTCTATCCCATGAACTATTTCCGATACATAGGAAACCGTTTGCTTTACGGAAGAGCCTAGTTCATACTCTATACTTCTCTGTTTTAACTTGCACGCCTACTCTTACGGATCGCAATTGGCTTTTTCTACAGAATTTACTGGAATTTCTAGTGAAAATCTATTTTGTCAAACTTTTTCGCAACATTTCTCTGTTTAATTAGACGATTAGCTAGTCTTGTCTTCTTCGACCATCAAGAACGGCGAAGGCCAGAGAGCACATTCTCATTTTTTGTTAGAACTTCTCATTTGTGGAGTTGAAATATGTGTAAAGCATACTATGTTCCAGTCGGGGAAGAGATTATTCACACATCTGTATTCCATGTAGTTGGCGAATCCTTCATTAAGCCAGAGATCGTTCCACCATTCCATGGTGACCAAGTTACCGAACCACTATAAGTTAGATTGTAATTCTACTAAGCAGAAGCAATGTATTCTCAAACCTGATGAGCAATCTCATGGCAAATAACTAAGGCTATTTGTTCTTTAGTAATAGCACTCGTAGATCCTTCCGAATACAAAAGTACTGAATCTCGGAAAATGACAAGACCCCAGTTCTCCATAGCGCCTTCTCCGAAATCGTCCACAGCCAACAGATCTATAGATATCACATACTGATCATGCTAACATCCATGTTTCATACCCATTTTATCTAAGGGGTAGGAAATATTGAAGTAATCTTCGAAGTACTCTAAGGCTCTGATGGCTGTGTCTAGTCCGAACTCTGACTGTCCTTTAAGAGCAGGTCGTGGGGCATAGAGTCTCACCTACAAACAGACTTTCTAAAGAGTGTTTTGAGCATTTGTTACCTCAATAGGATCTTTGGTTTTCTTTGTCGTTCTCTTCACATAATCATAATCATCTAAAATTGCTACTGCCAACAAATAAGTGCTCATTTTGACGGATTTCTCGAACACATCCTTCATCAACCTTTAACATGATTCTTATGTAGATTATTCTGTTAACGAAGACTTACCCATCTGTTTGTTCATGGGATTTATGTAGTTTCATGTTGGAGCGGACTACGTGATGAGGATCACGAATTACTGAAAGTTGGAACTGAGCTTTATAGGTGGGCTCATCGAAGCATGGGAACATGCGTCGAGCATATGATGGTTCAAACTGGGTTACTGCTGATCTCCTGAAACAATGGAGCATAATGTGCTAACTTCCTTGCATATGCTTTACGTTTTCTTGTCTTTCTTATCAGTGTGCGTAGTTATGTAGAGACCAACCAAGTCGTTAGCCACTAAGCCCTCGTACTCGATGTACAGAGAAGCTTCTGTGCCAGGTTCCAATTTCTTTTCAACTTCAAAAGACCATTGATCCAGTTCTTTGCAATCTTCCTGTAACATGTAGAACGTTGTGAAGCTCATCATGGTGATGACATACGAATTTGGCTTTGGTCGGTTCATGATCAATCGAGAGTTTGAAAGACGTCATGGCCAGATCATCAGCGTGTAAAACGATATGCTTTGTGGCGGACATGATCTGAAACAGTTTGAATGGGTTATGGGTAATGATATGACATGTCTTCGAACCTTAAGATTGATATTTACTATTCCAACCAATTTGTTACTTGTAACATTCGGATGAATGGTTAAGTTATACATGATAGGTTGAGAAGTTTCGGGCAGACGCCTACTGTTCCAGATGAACTTCTTACAGAAGACTTCATCATCATCATCGTCTGCGGTGTCAGCAGCTGAGGCAATGGCCACTTCTTCCTCTTCCTCTTCTAATTCTTCTTCCTCTTCTTCTTTTTCTTCTTCTTTTTCTTTTTTATCTTCTTCTTCTTCGTCGTCTTCTTCGTCTACATCTTCATCTTTTTCATCTATTTTTTCTTCTTCCTTCTCCTTTTCCTTCTCTTCTTCTTTTACGTCGTCGTCGTCGTCTTCTTCTTCTACTTTTTGTTCATCGCTAGCTTCTTCGCTGCTCCCACTGCCATCGTCGTTCTCATCTTCTTCACTTCCTTTTTTCTCTCCTGACTCAATCGCCACTCTCAAAGACCGTTCATCGGATTCATCATCTTCGTCTATGACTTCTTCAGAGGCATTCACATGTTTTTTGTGATTGATAAGCCCGTGTGAATCTGTTAAACTAGCTATGATACTCTGAAAAGTCGTAAACCGTTGCCTGCCATTGTGATTCAACTTACGAGTGGAGAATCTCCATCTGGAAAAAGCACAGCATGAAGAGTTGCTCCTACTGTGATTCCAACAAGGAACATCAATAAGGCAATGACAATGGCGGGTAGTATACTACGGCGTTTCCTTGAACGGTTATCAACATCTCTTGAATTAGCAACGGACCATGTTCCTTGAAAAAACCAGCGATTTGTTGTTTGTTTTAGGGAAAGAAAAAGTTTTTCCTAACAATCACAGTCATTCAATCATGCATTATAAAGGTTTGTTCAAATAATGACGTGGATAGTGTTGAGTTTTCAAAAAAATCTTCCTCTACTTGTTACAACCTCTCTGTATGTGAGGATGGAAAGGTTGAAACGACAAGTGCAATGCCGCTTAACGTATGTAAACGAATCATTAGGTTAGAGCTTCTTGCCGTCATTATGAATAGATGAATGAAGACACTTGTTATTTCTGATTCAGAAACGGGGCAGTTAAGCAGGAATTCATGTTTTGGCATGGGGGAACTCACTCACTTTGTTTTCCACACAACGTTCTGCTAATCTTTGTAATCATTTCAATTTAAACAACAGAACGTTGGCAGTTCTCTATCTCTTCATTTGAAAGTCAATTTTCAATTGAAACATAGAACTTACCAATTCCTTCGTTCTGAGATTCATCGTATAGCAGCTTCTGGGAAGCTGGTTGCATCACTGCTTCGTTTAACTCTTATCAAAATGCTAAATGGTATATGTTTAAGAGATCGATCGTGTGTATATCTTTCTAAATATTGATTGCAGCCTAAAATACTTCTTGTTACTCAATCATTCTCGTTTCCGAATCGAAATAGTAATGACAGTTCATTATAAGTAACATAATGGTTGGGACCATTGAGCAAACGCGCTCCAATGAGAATGTAAGCATCAAGCGAGCATTATCTAATTAATGTCAAAGTAGATTGAACGGTTGCTACCTGCATGTGCTTATAACATTTTTTCGACAAATGTTCATGAGCTTTTTGTTCTGAACATATCTAATTTAGTTATTTTAAGGAAGTAAATGGAGGCGATTTCATTATTTTGACAATGAATGAGAGAATGAGAATGGCATGAAGTCGAGGCAATTCAGAGAGTCAGTGGCTAGAAATAGGAAAGTGTGATGAACGTGCATATTCGAGAAGTGAGGAAATGATTTTTGTGGGTGAGAAGCAGGATTGAAATGGCGACACATGAGTTAAACGAACAAATTCATGTTTGCCGTCGCCGTTGTGTCTTCGGCTCACCTAATCCGTTCGGAATTAAGGGAAACTTCACTAACAGACTGTAAACTTTCAATTTTGTAAGCTTTCAAGCAAATACCTTAGTTGCACTACTGTTATGAGAAAGGTTTATTGGCACTGTGTTAAGTGTTTTTGGTTTAATTAAAATTGCAACAAGGCGAATAAAGTTACGGAAAGAGGAGGTTAAGCCGACGAGAAGTGTTTTGCTTTGATCAAAAAACGAGAAATAAATCAAAGAGAGCAAGAATTACTCTTTTCTTGTTTATATTTCATGTGCTCACTATTGTTATTTTCTTCATTTATATGTTTATGGCAAGTCAAAAAAGCTGATTTAATCTTCTTCGTTCTTCTCTCGCAGCTCTTGGCAACTCCCTAAAGTTTTTCTTTTTCAGATTTCTAATTATATACATATGTGTAAAAAAGGGAGTTGATCGTAATAATGGATAATTGGAGTGAGTATCAGAATGCTCCTCATGAACAAGGTCAGTCGTCGGATATTCATTCAGTTCAAAAAGAGACATACAAAAAGAGAGAGAGAGATTTGTGAGATATGAAAGACAATATGAAGTACGTCATCCGTTCATGACGACGTGAGCTTGAACCTCCACAATGGATGGTCTTGTGTTTGTTAGAGGATATTGCGATTCTAACGGGATATTGTTCACTGTAGACATGCTTGACGCTCTATTCTATTATTCAAAAACGAGCGGAGAGAAAAGAATCATGGGAGATTTAGAAGACAGGAAACACAATACCGAGCTTCATGGCAGAGAAAAGAAACTTTCGAATGTTTTGGTTGTAAATATTTGCTAGTAGTTGATCTGCCTACTTTTCGAAATCAAAATCGGAGTTTCTAAAAAAAATCTGTTTAGTCAACTGGGCCGCTCTGGCTCAGCAATGGATGGCTATGAAGAATGCCGAGGAATCTTGGCATCAAGCATCTTCTGGTCATAACTTGGCAGACATGGGTAAGACTTGTTATCGTATTAACATAGACAAAGAGTGTGTTTCAGCCGATGTTAGCTGGACGCCTTCAGAACCTTTTCCTCCACCGGCACCAGCTCCGCCTCCACCTCTATTCAAAGCTGCTAGCAAAGTGGAAAGAGATGTTGACACTCGAGTATGTATATTCTCAAAAAACATGCTTTGATCGTTAAAATTCATTGTCTTTTTTAGAACAACTTTCGTCAACACCAACAACAATCTCGTCCTCCGAACTTGCCTCCGGTACATCCTCAATCCTCATTTGCTCCATTCGATCCGAGATTTCCGTCACATCCTCCGAGGCATCCTCCGGTAGAATGTTTCAGTTATGTCTATCTTAAAATCGGCTTTTGTAGAGTTTTGATCCTTATGCTCTAGATGATGTTGTTCGGGAAAATAACTTCGGTCCGCCAAGGTTCCCACCTATGGGAGGACGTTTGCCACCTGGCAATCCGGGTCCTCCTGTGTCCCTCTGTCCAACGGGCCCTCCTTTGCACCATTTTCCTCCTGCTTTTCGTGGTCCTCCTAGACCTGGGCCTGGACCTTTTTCTGCGTTTCCTTTCCAAGACTTCCCTCCTGGACATTTCATGATCGAGCATGGACATCATCCACCTGCCCCAGCATTCATGGCGGGACGGGCAGCTAACATGGGCCCTCCAGGGCATCCAAAAGGGCCTCCTCCTCCTCGCCACTTTGCTCCTCCTCCTTCGGCAAATAACAATGGCAGTTTTGCAAATCATAAAAGCTACGATCGTGATTCACCGCCACCTGCTCCCAAGCATGACTCGGGACCACCTGACCATTTTTTCAAGAATAAGTATAGGGAAAATCGGAATAAAATGGAAAATCATAGATCTCCTTCCCCTCCTGCTTCTATCGCTCTAGGTACGAAAACGAAGTTATACAATGTGAAACCTGATTTTTAATTCCAGATGCCAATGCCCGGAAAAAATTACCTGCTTGGTTACTGGAAGGCTTAGAGAAGAGTGAACGAGAGAAGCAGAAACAGTTGGAGAAAGATGAGAAACAGAAGAAGTTAGAGGAGGAAAAAACGAAGCGAGTGTTTCAGGAAGGAAAAAGCAAATTTGTAAGTTACTTTCTCATAGATACAATGCCTTATCACTAAATTGAATTTAGGACAGCAGCAGCGAGGATGAAAGTGGGACGTCCCCAGAACCTGAGTATCGCAAACGCTCATGGAAAGATGACGAGGTGGAAAGTGTTGAAGAAGATTTTCGGACTGAAGATGAGAAGCGCGAAGATGCGGTAAGTTCATGCCGTGCTCTGAACTTCTAACATCTTCAATTAAGATTATTGCTTTAAAGTATATCATGACTTCACTACTGATGGATGCAACTGATAACTTGCTGATGCAAACAATCGAACAGACAGTTAACGAAGTTCAAAGGAAAGAAGGTGAAGATTTGAAACTCTTAAGACTTTGCTTATGACTCGTTGTGGTTTTGAGAAGAGGATGATTATAGTCATTCACAGCGATTCTCTAATGTTTCTTTTCCAGTAAAAGCTGTTCCCAAGTTACTAGCCAAGAGTTCCGCACTAGCGGCTCTATCTAACCTCGGTACGTTTTATGCAGACTTCCATGTGAAGGAGCATCAGGCAACACCAAGATTCGATCAGACATTTATCTATGGAATCTCTTTCCAATTACAAAATGACTCTCTATGTTTAGGAGATGATGATGATGAAGATGATGATAGTTCTGACGCCGAATCCAAGGAAGGTAATTCATCGAGTGATCATAAGGATATCTTTAAAGTACCTATGGTTATACCTCGAAATTTAAGTAAGACTGAATCGCCAACTCGCAAAGGTAAGACAGTTTAATTCATTCGATTCATACCTTCAAGGTGCTGAAACTTTCAAACTCTTCCTTTTCGTTCTCGTTTTTTTGATTGATGTCTATGATCAAGTTCGCAATTAACATTTTGCTTTCCAGAGGATAGTTCTTTGCCAAATGTAGGGAACGAGGAACATCCGTCTTCTTCTGCTGAATTCAAAGGTTTGAATTGTGTTCATGATCTCTCAACATATCCATTTACAGAGGACGGTAAGTTCTCAAAATCGAGTAAATCTACTGATGATGAGCGAACGCATAGAAGACGTCGAAGTCGTTCAAGAAGCAGGTAACTTACTTTTCTCTTTTTCGAATATTTTTTGCGAATTGCAGAGATCGTAAAAGAAGCCGATCGCGGGAATATAAAAAATCTCGTGATAGAAAGCGAAGTAGAAGTCGTGAACGAGACCGAGATCGTCATGAGCGGAAACGATCACGATCTTCTGAACGGAGAAATCAAAGAAAAAGAAGTAAAAGTAGAGAAAAAGATTCATATAGAAAAGATAAAAGGTAAGTATGTAATGATCTCAAATACTCCTCACTGTCATGAGATTCGGAGTATCTTTGCGTGTTCCTTGTTGTCTATGGCATCATAGGATTTTCGAAAAGTTACATGAAATTTATAAATTGGTAAATCATAAGTACAAGTTGAATGAGCTATAGTTCATCTCGGAGTTCTGCCGAGTTCGTTGATTGAGTTTTGGATTTATTGTTTTGTCACTTAGCGTTACTAGGTTCTTAGGTTTTGTTTCTATGTCTTTGCTCAATGAGTCAGCTTGTCTGTGTCTGTTTCTTTCGGATTAATAAACTATCAGAGTATTCTGTATTACTTGGCTCATAAGCTTTCTACACAATTATAGCTAAAAATATCTTTGTCTACTCTGGTCGTGATAGGAAGTTCAAAAAGAGTTGGCATTAAGAAGATGAGGAGAGAAACAGTTGAGGTATGGCTGTGCAGAAGATGTGGTTGAGATATAACTGCTGACGAAGAGAATCTTCGCTTAGGAGTGTGTAATGCGTGTGCTGATGGTGAGCCGTCTATCTCTCGTTCTACTTCGAGATTTTTGCTCGAAGTCATCGATTCACTTGCCACACGAACTTCTCTCGTATTGGTCAAATCATCAGAATCATGAGGCTTGTCCTTTTGTTTCTGCTGTTTTCCGCAGTTCTCCTAGAAGCCAAGAAGAAAAACCATGTCAAAGTAACCGTTGCCGATGATGTGCCAGTGCCGAAGAAACATAGTGGAGCGACAAAAGTGAGCTTTTCCAATCATTAGTTTTGCATCCTGTTTGAACTTCTGTCTCGATTCTGATCCCATATGCTCTGAGCGCTTGCTCTGGTTCTTACCACAGCGATAGTTCATGAAGTAATTCATTTTCTTGAAAAAAGTTAATGAACGAAGGCCTTGATGATGATCGAACAAAAAGATTTTTCTTAATATCTGTTGACCAAATAAACAGAATTTATCTTTTTATCTAATCCGATCTGTTTGCTTTTTCTTCCATTCCATGTAGTTAACTGAAATGTATGTCAGAGAGCAGCTGCTCCTGCCGTACGAGAACCAGAACCGGTCAAACAGGATCACGATAATTCGATCGATGATGTGGATGAAGACAAGATTGATGAGATTTTGCGTGATGCCAGCAAGAATTTGGTGATATTCTTCTGTAAGTTATAGATATCAATAAAGCTCTCAACTCATTCTGTCAGACGATGGCAGAGCCCAATGTCCTTCATGTGGAGACGCTTTGAACGAAATCGAAGAAATAGATGATGATATTGAAGCTAGTGGATATGTTCAGGCACTGATCATCCTTTCAAGTAGTCACTCACAGTGGTTTTCAGGTTGTCAAGACAGATGATCGTTCGGTTGCTCGTGAACTCGGTGTCACAACATTCCCATCGTTGGTGTACTACAGACGGAAACATCCGATCATGTATGATGGTGCGTAGCTTAAAAAAATATTCCGTTCAGTGTTTTCACATAATTAACCAACGAAAGGTTGGAAAAGTGAGAGATGAAGACTTTTTTTTCTCATTTTCCCAACGTCGATGAAGTCGTACTGACAGCAGGGAATTTCAATCCTTGTGTTGATTAGCTGAGAACTTGACAGTACCTGAGAACTAAGGTGTAATTGAATGTTCCAGGAGACTTCAAAGACTCAGATGCAATTCTTAGATGGATTCGTGCTCACGAAGAAGTAGCAGCCTGGGATTTAACTGATGACAACTTTGAAGCAAAAACCGACTCACATTCACCCGATGAAGGTTCACTGGACTGGTTTGTTATGTTGTAAGTTTTATCATTGCCATTCTTCTGTTAACAATAACAATGACTATTAGAACGCTTTTCCGTTTTCTGAAAACAGAAAATTAATATAAATATCATAATAACTCATGTATGCAACCGATACTAGTCTGTGCCAAGAGTTGAATGGCTTTGACGTTCGCCACGTACCTCATTAGCATGTTTGGGGCATTCGAATAGTTTTTGAATTTTCGATATAATTTGAAATGAGTTGAGGGTTTAGAATAATGAAAATTTCATACTATTAATTGTTTATCATTCTCAGAAAGTAAGCTCTATGTATTTCCAGCTATGATGCAGATGAAGGAAGTTGCAATTCGTTCATTCCTATGTGGGAAACTGTTGCTCATAAGTAATTCGAAGAAACCCATAACTTCATACAATTCAATTTTATAGGCTTCGTGGCTTAGTTCATGTCGGCAAAATTGAAACTTCGGTGAACGATGATGTCACTGAACGTTTCCATATTGATGAGAATGAATGTCCGACCTTCTTATTGTGAGTTACCTTTCTTTGACAAGTCCATGCTGATAGTTGCAAGCAAACAGACTTTCATTGTGTGTTTGATATTTCAATAGATGTTATTGTTCGATTACAGGTTCCATCGTGGAAAGGTTTACCACTACAAAGCTTCTGCCAAAGACATTCGCTCTTTAGTGAACTTTGCTTTATTCAAGTTCAAGGAGCAACGTGGCCACAGGTAGGAGAGAGACAAACGCATCGTTGCAAGTCATAGTAGATTGCAAAAACGAATCGGCATGGCTGACACGTTGTAAATGGAATTGTTACAGAGTTCCCGTCCCACCAACAGCTATTGAACATATCTATGAATATACAAAAGAGAAGATAGTTGATTTGATGGTTTATTGAATTCTGTCATGTATTTTCATCCAATTATTTACAGGACGATAATCAAACCTTATCAGTCATCGCTGTTGGAGGCTTAATAGTGATTGTAGCCATTACACTCGTGCTAAAGGCTCAGAAGATCAGACAACAGGAAAAGAAAGCCGAATAAATCTGAAAGAAAGCATTTGGCAACATCTGAATAATCATTCTTTGCACACACACACACACTCTTGTAAATGATATTTTGTTAAAACAAAAAGTATGTCTTTTCTTCCACCAAAATGTATTTGCTCTTGCCATTTTTGTTTATCGGGTGTTACAAGCTCGCTCGCCCTCACTCTCACTCTGTCCCTCTCTCTCTCTTTTTCTGTTTTTTTCTCTGCGTCTCTCTATTGTATATGATCAGCGAATACTCCAGTTGTCTACTCTCTCTACCTGCATCAGTCTAATGTTGGAAGAATGGTATTTGTGAAAACCTAATAATTTGAAAGCATTATTTTCAGTTAAAAACAAAAATCATATGTATTTTCGCTTTCTTCGATATAACTAGTTGGTTTGATTTGTCTCTTGATGATGAAGAAGATATTCTTCTGCTCCTAGTGTCTAATCATTTAATTCTCTCATACACACACTCTCCCTCTCTCGTCTTCCCTCTCTCTCTCTCTCTCTCTCTCTCTCTCTCTCTGTATCTTTACCTTAATAGGATTATTGAATGAGATTTTGAAAAAAAAAACTGGCCAGCGCTCTCATATTTGAAGATGTAATGAGATATTTGATTGTTTCTTTCAATTTCTTTCATTGACCATTTACGACCACATCGTTAGCATTGCCAATGATGATGATGATGATGACCCTTTCACACATTTCTTTTTACACAAATATTTTATTTGCTCCTTTAAAAAATAGATGGTAACTATCTTTTTCATGATTCTAGACTATTATGAAACAAAGTTTTTCTATTCGTTGCACTTTTATCAACCAAATGGGAAATTCAAATTGTCCATTATTGAAACATTGATGCTTGCAAAACGGGCTTGTATCAATAATTATCGAAAGTTGTAAACGTGCATTGAACAGCGTACTGAGCGTGTAATCCTTCTAGACTTGTATGGTATGGTCATGGTTTATGAGATAAGAAGCTGTAGACCTTTTTTTGTCTGTTATTGCACTAACCACCATTCTAAAGAGGAGTAGCTGCTATGAAAGAGAGAGAGAGAGGGGAGAGAGGGTTGGGCGAGAAGGAGAAGATGGATGTGAATGAGATAAAAGAGATCAGCATACACTATTAACAACTTTCCTTTCAACACAAACTCTTTCCATCTTCTATATTCCCTCATATCTCTCTCTCTCTCTCTCTCACTCACTCTCCCTTTATTCACACTCGTAGATGTTTAATCGTTTATGCAACATTGATTTGTCTAAAGTGCACATTTATGAATTCCTTAGTCGAGATTGTTGTCATGACTACTGCTAAACCAGTAATTAGAAGACAAATAAATAAATAGGCTTTCAACTTCTCCTCCCAATAGAATGTTAATTTTTTGTTTGGACTGAATTATTTCACTCTTCATCATAAACATGAAGATCACGAGAGGCCATTTTCTATGATGCTTCCGCATGGAACGGTTGTGTATGAAGCAGTTCTCTCTTCCTCCCCTCTCCCCTTTGCGTTCTTTTCGCTTCATTTCATATCTCTCGAGCATAATTTCGAAATATCTCTTTTTCTCCTTTCCCCTTATTATGAAATTTGTTATTATGGGGCTTTCTGCTTTTCACCCACATTTCAATCTCACTGTGTCGAAGTTGCGTTTCTTTCTCAGTCTTAGGCTTCGTCTTGTTCGTTTTGCTTCATCATCTCTCCTGTGTTCTGCTCGTGATGAATAACTTAATGCTAATTTCATCATTTCTTTATTTCGTTCTCGAGTCGAAAAGAAAGGAGAAGAAAAAAAAGATGAAGAAAAAAGTTAACGAAGATAATTCTGAAGAACGGCCCGATAGCATCGTGTATTGTACAGCACAAGAAGGAAATGAGTGCAAGAGGAGAAAAAATGATTTCGAAAGATGCAAACATCCAATTCTTTTATCTTTTTGTTCTTCATGTTCATATTAAATTGTGGTTTTTCTTGTTTTCACTCTCTCTCTCTCTCTCTCTCTCTCTCTCTCTCTCTTT